GAATTTCAAAGGAATAAGGGCAGGTGTGAGATTAGATGTCCATGTGTGAAGTGTTGCAATGGAAAGCCAGGAACACGTGAGACCGTAACTGCACATTTGCTCATTTATGGAATGGTCCAAAACTATACATTTTGGTGCAACCATGGAGAAAGGTCGGGCGAGGCATTTGGTCCAGCATTCGAAAATGTCAACGGTGCAGATGAGAATGAGTATGAGCATGCGAATGAGCAAGAGAATGAAATGCATCAGGTTTTGAGGGATTTGTATCCTAATATTGACATCGGTGAAGAAGAAATTGATATGGATTTTGAGGAAGCATACAATGAGTCACCAAATGATGAAGCAGAAAAGTTCTATAGACTGTTAAATGACTCTGAGCAACCTGTTTATGATGGTTGTAAGAGTTCAAATTTATCAACTATAGTGAAGCTTCTTCACATAAAGACTCTTGGAAGATGGAGTAATGAGTCATTTAACATGTTGCTCAAGCTTATGAAAGAAGATCTGTTACCTGAGGGTTCATCCTTGCCAGATTCTTATTATGAATAAAAAATAATAATAAAGGATCTCGGCCTTTCATACACAAAAATTGATGTTTGTGAGCATAGTTGTATGCTGTTTTGGAAGGACGATGCACATCGTGATGATTGCAAGGTGTGTCATGCATCTAGATGGAAAGTGGACAAACGTAGTGGGGAAGTCATGACTAAAGTCAACGGGAAGAAGCTGCCAAAGAAGACTTTACGTTAGTTTCCACTAAAACGACGACTTCAGGGGTTATATTTGTCAACAAAGATAGCTTCTCAAATGACTTGGCATCATGACAACAAGACCGATGGTGAAGTAATGAGACATCCAAGTGATTCTTCAGCATGGAAGTCATTTGATGGCCTTCATCAATCATTCTCAGCGGACCCTCGAAATGTGAGGCTTGCTCTAGCTAGTGATGGCTTCCAACCTTTTGCACATTCTCAAACTCCCTATAGTATCTGGCCAGTGGTTTTAGTTCCATTTAACTTGCCTCCTTGGATGATTATGAAACCCTCCAATTTTATTCTATCCATGTTAATTCCTGGTCCAGAAAGTCCTGGAATTGATATAGATGTATATCTGCAGCCTTTGATTGAGGATCTCAAGGATTTGTGGGAAGAAGGTGTCACTACTTTTGACTCATCGAAAAGACAGAACTTTCAATTACATGCAGCATTGTTGTGGACAATCAGTGATTTTCCGGCTTATGCAAACTTATCGGGGTGGAGCACTAAGCGAAGGTTAGCTTGTCCTGTCTGTAGTAAGGACACAAGGTCCAATTGGTTATATAATGGAAGAAAGTTCTGTTACATGGGTCATCGACGTTGGCTCTCTAATGGTCATAGATGGAGAAAAAACAAAGAATCTTTTGATGGAACAATTGGGAAACAAGGTCAGCCAAGAATATTCTCAGGAGAAGAAATACTTGATCAAGTTCAAGATCTTGAAGATATTTGTCTAACAAAATGCCCAAAAAGGAAGATGAAGATATCCCATGAAGAAAGAGGTGACAATTGGAACAAAAAAGTATATTTTTTGATCTTCCATATTGGAAAACACTGTTGTTGCGTCATAATTTAGACGTGATGCACATTGAGAAGAATGTATGCGACAATGTGATGGGGACAATCATGAATTTGAAGGGAAAGACCAAAGATATTATGAAAACCCGTCTTGACCTAGAAGAGATGACACTAAAACCAGAATTACATCCCATTCGAGAAGGTGGGAAGTTGGATATGCCACAAGCAAAATACACTTTGCTGCGAGATGGTAAACGCAAGTTCTGTCACTTTCTGAAGAGCATGAAGGTTCCTGATGGCTTCTCATCAAACATATCTCATTGCATAAATGTAGATGAACATAATATATCTGGTTTAAAAAGCCATGATTGTCATGTTCTTCTACAACATCTTATTTCTACTTGCTATACGTGGTCTTTTACCGAAGGATGTCTGCGACCCTCTTATAGAATTGTCAGATTACTTCAGGAGCTTGTGTTCGAAGTCACTTAAGGTGCAAGAGTTGGAGAAAATCAAAGCTAAGTTTCCGGTCACTCTTTGTAAACTGGAAATGATTTTTCCACCTGCATTCTTTGATGTTATGCTACATCTACCTGTGCATTTGGCTGACGAGGCTATAGTTGGAGGGCCAGTCCAATTTAGGTGGATGTATCATATAGAGCAATACTTGCACGATCTGAAGTCATATATTAGAAATAGAACGCATCCTGAGGCTTCGATTGCAGAAGGGTATATCGCTTCAGAATGTATGACACTGTGCTCCAGGTACTTGAATGGTATCCAAACAAAGTTCAATAGGGTTGACAGGAATTATGATGGAAATGATGTGCAAGATTTTCTTCAATTCTCACCGGTTGGACGATTCTTGGGTAGTCATGACAATGTTCGTAATCTCGGTTCAAAGGAACTAGAGCAAGCTCATATTTATGTGATGAAGAATACAAAAGAAGTGCAACCATTTTTCGAGTAAGATTTTTATTATGTTTTAACCATTTTCCGAGAACGATTTTCAAATTTTAACCATCTCTTTGTTTTTAACTATCTTTGTAGAGAATTTAGTTATCTTTGTGAGCATGATTTGTTGGGAGGAAACTACAAGGAAGACGATGCAAGCTTCATTTCTTGGTTCAGGCAAAAAGTATGCTTTTTTCTTCTAATTACTATCAAAGACTTGGTAATTCAATTTATGTCATGAAAATGTTCTAAAGCGGGTTGAATCTTTATTGTAGGTTGCAAATTCCTATGAACCTAACAAGAGTAAGAGATTGGATGACCTATTGTCACTATCACGAGGTCCTGCTCAAAGTGTCAAGTGTTTTACAGGTTATGTCCTAAATGGTTTTCGTTTTCACACAAAGAATTATGACAAAAGTTTGAGGACTCAAAATAATGAAGTCGTTGTAGTTGGCGATGATGGAGTTGATCTGAATGCTATAGACTACTATGGGGTTTTAAGAGAGGTCATTGAGTTAAAATTTCTTGGAGGAAGATCATTAGCTTTGTTTAGGTGTGATTGGTGTGATGTCTATGATAAGACAAAAGGGCTGAAAGTGGATGAACATGGGTTTGTGAGTGTCAACCTGAATAGAATGTTGAAGACAAATGAGCCATTTGTCCTTGCAAGTCAAGTATCCAAGGTATTTTATGCAGAAGATAATGTTAATAAGAACTGGCACTTACCTGTAAAGGTGCCACCTCGAGCCATGGATGTGTTGCTAAGTGAAATGGTTCAGCCTATGGATTGGTATGGTTTCTCTTTTTTTTTTTTTTTTTTTTTGTGTTGAATCTCTCGTTTTGGAAAGTGATTTTTGTTGTCTCATTGTTTCTAACATTACAATTTCAATTGTCTTCCTTTTGTGTTGTCATAGAAGACTGTTCTGTTCGGCCAAGTTTGTCATTATTGAAGATTCTGGAAAGGGACTGTTCTGTTTGGGTTAGTATCTTTCATCAAAGCTCTTATTATAGTGAACTAAAATTGATCGACGAATTTTGTATACCGTCTTGGTTGTTCTGTTTGGGTTAGTATCTTTCATCAAAGCTCTCATTATAGTGAACTAACATAAATGGATGGATTTGTATGCAGTTGGCTGTTCTGTTTGGGTTAGTATGCTTCATCAAAGCTCTCATTATAGTGAACTAAGATAGATTGATGGATCTGTATGCACTCTTGGCTGTTCTTGTTTACTGCAATTTCCCTTTTAGTATGCTCAGATGTTAGACAATGAATCATATGTCTATAGTAGTATGTAGGGTTCTTCTAACTTCATAGCCTAGTTATTGGATACCATATCATGATTCTGATTCATTATTGGTGCATGACTAGAATGAGGATAAATAGTTCAAATGATATAGCTCGTTTCACTTTTCAGGTTCATTACTCTTTTTGTTGGTGGTGATGAGATTTTGGGGTGATGTTCATGGATACTCTCTCACAGCAAGCTCCAAGAAGACGGTGGTCTACACAGCAAGCTCTAAACCTATATAAGTAGATTGTAATAGATATATAGAATCGCTTGTAGGTAAGATATTATTCTATTTACACTTATTATCGTTGGCAGGAAACTTTAATATAACTGATTTTCATAATTATTGTGTTGTATCTAGTCACTGAAACATACTGTGACTGATTGGTGGTTTGTATGTAGTCAGCTGTAAATACTGTGACCGATGCTTCGTAATTAGTCTTGGGAAAATACAGTGACCAGTGGTTTCTAATTTGGCCCAGAAAATACTGTGTACAGTAGTTTGTATGTAGTCACAGGAAATACAATGACTAGTTATTGATATTTTTAATCACGGGAACACTAGTCACTACAGGTATTAAATACCGTGATTAGTTATTGACATCTAGTCACGGGAATTGATTTTGCCACAGTAATTACCGTGATTAGTGATTGACATCTAGATACGGGAATTGATTTTGCCACAGTAAATACCGTGATTGGTGATTGATATCTAGTCACGGTAATCGATTTTGCTACGGTAAATACCGTGATTGGTGATTGACATCTAGTCACAGGAAACAATTTTGTCACTGTAAATACTGTGTCAAAAGGTGAACTTCCCGTCTTTAAATGATTTTTTCCCTTGGTTTTGTGCTCCAATTTAATGCATTAGTCACCCGAATTCCTGTGAGTAATACGTACAAATTATCACAGGAAATTATACCGTGAGTAGTTATTAGTTACGGTAGAAATTTCCCGTGACCTTTACAATAAGACACGGAGGTATATATTACGGTAACTTTCCCGTGACTGGAAGTACTAAACACGGGAAACGCACTTTCAAACACGGGATTCACCGTGAATAAATGATCTATTTTCTGTAGTGGGGCAGCTTTGGCATAGTAATGGCCGTTGGATAGGATCCCGGCATTGGAGGCCGTATCGTTGGGTGCTGGCAACAAACTTCGCTCGGCGGGGAAGTAAGCATATAACCACAGTTGCACTAGCCAAAGGGGGCCAGCGCCGGTAACTTCCCTCTTCGCAGTGGCCTTTTGATTTGTTTGACGGTCAAATACAAGCCCTTGTAGAGATGACACATCACAAATTCCGCAAGGTTGACGCATCGTCTAGCAGAAATCTCAGAGGAAGTCTCGGTATCTTGCACGAGTTTGCTGCTGCCAAGGCAAAGAATGAATTTATTTAGCCAGTGGTGAATCAAGTATGCTCGCTCCTTGTCCGTGACCGGTGCCGCGGGGTTGGCTTGGGAATTAGTGTTGTAAATAGAGCGATAGGAGCGATCAAAATGACTGGGGTTGTTGGGGCTGAAAGGAGTTCTAGCGACGGCGGGAGGTCGGCATCTTGAGAGACCAGTTAGTGTGACGAGATCAAGTAGGGTGATAGTCATGGTCCCCAGTGGAAATATGAAGCTGTTGGATTCGGTAAACCAGAAGCATATGGCAGCCTTGAATAGATCTACATCTGGTTGAGGGAGATTGGCGCATAGAGATAAGAAACGATCTATGCCTGCATCCCTCCATTGAGCAACAGTGGTTTCATCAGCAACCAGGCGAGAATACCATCTCACGAAGTCCTTGTCGAAGAGAACCCATGAAGATAGAGGTCGTTTCGGTTTCTGTTGAGTGAAGTAGGGGTTGTCTGTGGGTGAGCAATGAAGGAGTAGTCGAGCGTGAGTAGTGGGGTAAATGTTCAGCTTGTCCATGGTTGGATTGCCGGGGTTGGTTATAGCAGGACCGTGCAACCCTTCTCCTTTGTTTGTTAATGAAAGGGTATCAATCTCTACGGCGGGAGAGCTATCCAGATTCCTCCATCTTTCCTGTGGATCATCGATACTGCATAAGTGAGCCGCAAGGTCGGGTCGTGGTGGCCTGCCAAGAAAAGAATCAGGTATGTTAGTCATTCTCATGATCGGAAGGGTTACTCCCGGTCACACGCCGAGGCGGGCCATTGTTGGACTAAGTAGCGACAGCATAGAAAGCGAAAGGGAGATAAAGCAGCTTGTGTAAAACTACCAGGAGCAGGTACGTTATCTTTTGAGGAGGTGTGCGGCCGCCGGGAGCCATGTCGGTGCCTTGGTGGATTGTTGATGGGTTTATTTGGTATGCTTGAAGAAGAAGAAGGTGGCGGGCTGGCAAGTATTGCCGCAGGTTGTCTAGGGGGAATGGGAATTAGGGAGGTAGCATGGCTGTTTATTTATAGAGAGTAAGGGCCCAAACCTGTATGGAGAAGGATTGGTTGATGGGGTTTGTTTGTTTTCTTTCCTTGGCGGAAGTGGAATAAGACTGGGTAACGGGTTTGGGGTTCTAATTACGCTGCGAGGTTGCAAAAAGCACCGCTGTTCATACGAGGAATAGTGAGACAAGGCTGGACAAGAGTTTTGGAAAAGCAGTTCCGAGAATGCTAAATGTTGCAGCATTGTTCCTCATCCGAGCAGGCCCCTTAGCGGTTGTGGTTTTTCTTTTTAGCGAAAAGAAGGAGGAAAAGAAGGAGAGGACAACGTTGGGGAGTTGGAGACTTGGAGCGGAAGTCAATTTGGCCAAATACATGGCCACAAGGTTGCCTAGGAGAAGGAACGCTAAAACAAAGCTGCTTTGTTGGCAAAATCCGTTTATGGCCGTTTGGCCAAGACTGTAGTGTTGCACTATATTTAATTCAGCATGGTGAAGCACACGCAATGCCGTTATATCTAGCAACAACGTTGTTGTTGACGAGTGGTAGATTCGAAAAATCAGTTTATGGTGGACCAGCCGCAGGTACGTTCTGGACCAACTATAAATTTCCCCAAACACGTTGTTGGGAAAGTAGACAACATGGCGGCCTCGGTGGGAAAGTGAACACGTTGTTGAGAAAAAAAATGTGTTGAAACGCCACCGTTAGCATGAAATCAGCGATGCGGTAGAGCAAATTTCCTAAAATATCAGTGCAGGGAAATAATAACGTTACTTTCTGATTGTTTCAGCGCTGCGGGGAAAATAAAAATAAACATGTGCTGAAACAATCGCCACAACTGAATTGGTCTGGCGGAAATAAAAAAACGGCCTTGAGGGAAGGAGGGCCGCCAAGTCTGCTTCTCGAAGCAGCATTGTTAAATTAAGATATATAATAAAAAAAAACAAGTGTGGCCGAGGCGGCTATGCAGGCCTCCTAAAGAGGAAAAATAGGCCAAAAGATTTCCGCCAATTTTTGGTGGATTGGTGGTTTAAATTAAAATTATTTTAGGTGTTGTGGATTATGTCAACAATTTGGTTCATAATTCTTATAAACCAAATTAATTCGGCCGGAATTAAATGCCGCATTAATTAGTCTCGGCATTTAATTCGATACCGCGGGTAAAAACGGTGTCGTTGGGAGTCGAGCAGCGTCGCGGAGAACTAAACAGTACCGCAAGGTAGCTCAACAGTACCGCGGTACTGGAAACGACACCGCTTACTGAAAAACAAAAAGGGTCGTGCGTTTAGTGTGGGTATTTGAGAAGGAGTTTCTCTAATTAAATTATTATTTTTATTCCTTGTTGGAAGGGGAGAAGCGGTACCGCATGGGGACAAGCGCCATCGCGGAGAGTTAAAATGGTACCGCGGATTTAAAAACGATGCCGCGAGAGCCTTGATAAGCGGTACCGATTAATCGGGTAAGTGACCAAAATTTGCCCAGCCCAATGCGAGTGCAGACTCGTGGCGGTTCTATGGATTGATATTTTTTGGCTATATTAGCGGTGTCGTTTAAATAAAAACGATGCCGCGAGTAGGCCCAACGGTACCGCTGTACTAGCAAACGATACTGTTTAAAATAAAAAACAATGACGCAAAAGGAAAAACAAACGGAGCCGTTTTGGCGCTAATGATGTCGTTGGCCAGCACACGAGTTGGGCTAGTGATGGCCGGATTAATTAATTAATATTTTAATGACTATTTAGGACGGTGTCGTTTAGTTGAAAACGATGCCGCAAGAGGAAAGAAACGACACCGCTGATTTAAAAACGATGCCGCGAGTAGGCCAATAGATGCCGCAATGGTTAAAACGACCGTGTTAAATTTAAAACGGCATCGCGAAGTTCAACAACATCGCAAAACTAGAAAACGATGTTGTTTAATTAAGAACGGTGCCGCGAAGTGAGAGTTTGACGGCGTGTCAACAATGATGGATGGTTTAGTTAATTAATATTTTAAGGGTTATTTTAGACGGCGTCGTTTAGTCGAAAACGACATCGTGGGAGATATCAACACCGTACCAGTACTGAAACGATGTTGTTTAATAGAAAACAACGTCGCAGTGGCGAGAGTTTAGCAATTGTGGATTTTGGCTCAGTGTCGTTTTGGCCAAGTTTCCGGGTGTCTAAGCGGTTTCGGACTCGTGGGAGTTACGCAACAAGGAGGAAGTTACCTGTACGGTTGACAGGAATGAAGACGTGGGAGACAAAGGCGCGAAGGCAGTTACTACGACGGGGAGAAGCGCGAAGTATAAAGATTGGGAAGAGAGAGAAGATCGAGACGGCAAAATCAAATCACAAACTGCACCGTCGCAGAATCTAACTTTTTTCTCTCTAGTTTCGTAGAACCGCTCTGTCAAAGACTTCCTTTGCAGAGTCGTAGATCGTAGCTTGTAGTCGTAGTCGTGGAGCTCTCCAGAGGAACCTCCATAGGAGTAGAGGTAACGTAACTTAGAACACTCCCAGTTTTGTTTCTCGTTTCTCGTTGAACACCCTCGTTCGAACGTAGTTTGGAGAGGTGGTGAACCGAGTAACGGTTGTTCTGGTTAGAAGTCAAAGGTGCATTGATCAGATCAACATCGCCGACGCAAGGTAGATATTTGACAGTCATCTTGGTTTCTGTTTAATCGATCAAATCAACGGCGCCGACATTCAGCGGCGGATATTTGACGATTGTGATTGACTTTGTGCTTGTGTTTACTTGAAAACAGTGCGCATTGAACACGCGAGTTTCGCCAACGAAACAAATTGGCACACCTGGTGGGACCTGTGTGTTCGAATGGCTCCGCGACGGAGGAATCACGAGGGCGATCTTCCACAAACTTCAGTGGAGGAAGAGCAAATGGTCAATGTAGAGGCTGACTAGAGTGGCGGTTCAAATGGCGGTTCGAGCAACGACGCCGGAGGGGAAGTGCCAGCAGTGGCGCAAACTGCCGACCAGTGTGGAATAACGTGCATGCTTCGCCAAGTCATGGCTGAGAACCAACAGGTAAAACTTCACTTAGCCTCTTTGGATGGACGTCTTGACGGTCTTAGCTCTCGGATTGATAGACGTGTTAGCCAATTGGTTGAAGTCGTAGATAAAAACAGAATGGATTTTGAAAGTAACAGACGTGATTTTAATGAGTTTAGAGAGTTTTTGAATAGGCCAGTGCCGCAAACAAGGGCTTTGCCGTTAAGCGGCGAGAATCCGTTACACAACGACACTGTCACCAATAGCTTTCCGGTCAATGGCGACAGAGATACTCAATCGAGACAGGGCATTCCTCTGACACTGGTGTTGAACCCAACAAGTCCGCCAAGAGTAAATCTTGGCGAAACGAGCACTGCGGCTAACACTCGTGTTAAGCCGCCACCAATGCACAATGTGAGTCCACAAAATATCCTGGAGGCCAGACCGTACGTGGCTCGGATGAGCGGTACTGTTGGTGGAGGAACAATCAACAATGATCATGTTCCGCCACGCGATTGCCCGCAAAACGTGCCTACTCCTCCAAACGGGCTTGGCATGGATCCTGGTGGATTCGTACCACAAGGGGGGCAACTCGGGGGGGGGGGGGGGGGGGGGGGGGGAGGGGGGCAAGACATTAATGTGATTCGAGATCAGGTAGCACAGATGTTGGCGGATCAGTTTGGTTTAGGGATTAGACCAGCAATGCTGCCGGAATACCGAAAACCATATCCGGATTGGGTTGATAGATATACAACCCCTTTCCGCGTACCTGATTTCATCACCTTCAGCGGGACTGGAGATCAGTCCACCGTTGAGCACGTTGGATGATTCACGGTTCAGTGTGGTGATGTGAGTGATTTCTTGAAGTTGCGTTTGTTTGTCAACTCGTTGACCGGTCCCGCCTTCGCGTGGTACGTCAACTTGCCATCGAACTCGGTTCAAACTTGGCAGCAAATGGAACAAATGTTCCATGCCCAGTTCTACCGTTCTCAGCCAGAAGTAACAATGGCAGACTTGGCACGAATGCGCCAACAGCCAGGAGAAACGGTGGAACACTTTTTAACAAACTTTAAGAATGCAAGAAATCGTTGTTTTGTGAACTTGACAGAACGCGAGTTTGTTAAACTTGCCCAGGGTGGATTGAATTTTGAACTTCATAAAAAGTTTCAAGATAGGGAGTTTTCTGATCTGTTTCAATTGATGTCCTGCGCTGTTAGATACAAATCGCTTCTCCATGAAGAAGAACATAAGAGGAGTGGTTCTCGTGGACAATATTTCCCTAATTTTGAAAACTATGGTGTTAATAACGTCGACAATGATGTTGACGAGGTTGAAGTTGATTTGGCCGAGATTGTGCAGGGGAATCCATGTGTGTGTGCTTCTCTTGCCAAGGCCTAAGGGGAACCCCAAGGTGGAAAGCCCAATCGTGCTCCAATTCAAACTAGGAAATATTCCTTTGATGTTTCAAAATCAAAATTGATTTTCGACCAGCTTTACAAAGATGGTCAAATTAAGTTAACTAGGGGGCATACAATCCCGCCAGCCAAAATATTAAAAGGGAAACGATACTGTAAATGGCACAACAGTGCATCTCATTCAACTAACATGTGTACATGCATGGGGAAAGCTATGTACCCAGTGTCGCGGAAAGCTAAACATTGGGGGAGGAGGACCGAGCCAGCCGGTCCACCAGAGATTGGGAACACGACAGTTCAAACTGAGGTACCCCTCATATGAACGC